AATGCATCCCTTTCAAAAGTAGAGGCTTTTCAGTTTCTGGACCGCGCTGAAGTTCGGGTTGCTTTTCAGGTATTACAGAAGTATGATAGAGGTGCATCGTATGGCATTATCCTATTTGAAAAACCAGGATTTGGAGAGAGCGTTGGTATTGCTAATACGATTCTGCAGGTGACTTGATCGATTCTTTCTTTGCATTGCAGATCGTGAGAGTGAGAATAAACCCACTCTTGAAAGTTTCGCATGTATTCTTTAATTAGTATTGGTGGAATGCGATAACTGTTAAAAATACCATCAAGAATCATAGAGATAACGCCCTTCTTCATGATCGCGCAGACCCCATCCACCCCTGTTTCTATCCTCTCGGAAGAGGCGAGCACCCTTTTAATAAAGAAAAAACCTTGCCGATAATGTAGCCTGAGTCATGTTTTGTTGGGTCCACATGCAGCACAAAAAGGCTCCTGGTAGCTTCTCGTCACAAGAACGTTCAATCGACTCCCGTTGCGATATATTTTCTAGTTGATTACTTTTTGGAGCTCATCACGCTTTTCTCTACCATAAGGGTGGTTCTGTGATAGCGGTTCAAATCTGAGCACTGCAGTGTAATTTTCCTGTTCAATCTGTATGAGCAAACATGAGCTGACATAGGTTTAGGACTACTCACATGGACTTATTTTCCGCAGATGACTTTTTTGAGAACATAATCTTCTCTCTATAATATATTACGTTCCTACTTGAACTTGCTTTCAGTTTCACTATTGAAGAACTACCAAAACATCACGAGTTCAATACCTTTGCGGGTGAAGAAAAGAGGACTGTTTTTGCTCTGTTGAAACCGGCTCTTGACCGTGTAATGACATTTTTACATTTTTTTAGTTCTCAATGCCCATTCTTCGGTGGTGCTGATTTAATCCACTTTTGTTATGCCGCTCATATAGCATTTACTGGTTCAGGCAGAGAATCTGAAAAAGCTATTGAAAGCAAAGTTTGAAGTAGAAGCTGAAGAGGTCAGGAATTATAATGCTGCACGACAAGCTAAGCTGGTAAGATTTGCTTTGTTTTTCGGAAGTTGCCCTTTACTTTTGGCTCATTATTATTGTTTAGCATTGTCTATAGCTGCCTATAGGAATGCTAAAATCTTGACGGTGTGATGGCTTAGGTTCGAAACGCATATTCTGGCTAAGCTTTAGCATGCACATAATTCATTACTTAGATAACGTTTCATTAAGAAGAGAAAGGAATCTACAGTCTAGGCTTTGAATAATTTCAGGAAGCGAGGAGAGCGCAAAGCGGCCAAGCTGCTGAGAGGCCGACGTCAATCGCAGCAAGTGGGGAGGCAAATGTCGTCAATATTGTGTGAGTGATAATTAAAATTCGTCATACAGTCCAACAAGTTTTTCTTTCATTGCCTCTATACCACTCGGAGCTTATTTGAGAGGTCCTGTAGTGAATTATCTGTTTATAGTAAAAAAAGGCTATTGAAAAGTTGAATGACACGGCATCACCTTAATATTCAGATGCTGAGGCAGCCCCTAAGTACTCATTTTCTATATTTCAATTGAACTTCCGGCCAGACTTTTAATTTCTGCAAATTCCTTCTCTTTAGTAGCTTTTACCGTTTGTATGGTAAGCGATATACAAAGTTCTCGGATTTGATCAATCCCTTCCATAACGTGTTCCATGTTGAGTCTGATTTTTCGTAAAATGTTTGCTAAACAAGTCGATTGTCGTAATCTATCAGTCTTCAAGCTTTTCGAAATTATTCAGTTTGATTAGCTGTTCGACTTCTCTGCATTCCATGTTTTTGCCACTTTCCTTCCTTTGACTTTGACCATTTACGAACCATTTTCCATGGGTCGGGAAAAAGCCATTGTTCAGTCCTTGAACAAGCCGTACACTTTCGTTCTTCCTTTCTCATTTCGTTCCACCCTATGCTCTTTTGTGAGCGACTTTTGAAGTGCTCACGGGTCATTCATTGTCTGCCCACTTATTGTTGAACGGGCTGCAGCATTGTTTTATTTGGCTAATAACTATTGCTTTCCTCCTTTCTTACTGAAAACCTCAATTTCGTGTTTGTTGTTCCTCTTTGCCCCGATAAGTAGGTGAATTGTGTAAAGCCCTTTTGAAGGTCAAGTTATTCCATGCGACAGGGTAACATCTTCATAATCATGCTCTCTAGTAGATCAAAGTGTTGTATCCTGGGAGGGAGAATGTTGTTTTTGGTTCTTATTCATAACCGTCGTATGAAACATGAACAATAAGGCATGCGGTGCTGTTGTTTATTTGTCGGCTCGCGGTGTT